GCCTCCTGCTGGAATAGTTACAATTGGTCTAAAAATCGTCAACTTCATGATGTTCTTGTTAGAATGATCCAACCCATTCCTACTGGGGACCAATCTATCCCAAGTTAGTCTAGGGTTGCAGCCTACTGTTTATCTCTAACTATTAGAATCTAGCTGGTTTTCTAGCTGTGCAATCACCCAGAATGTTCCAATGTAGAGTCAGAAGTGAGTCTTTCCTCCCCACCCTCATGTATAAGATCGAGCACCCTGATTAATCAACTCAACCTGCTGCCTTAGGTGAAATAATAAGGAGGCATATGTGGTAGGACAGCATTGCTGGTGTGATCCATTTAAGTTTATCCTTCCCCCTGTTATGTTTATGTACCCCCTTATTTAATGGTGCCCAAGTTTCTTTTCCCATCGGTGAACTGTTTTACTGGAAAACCTGGCTGCCCTAAGGCTACTATAAGAAAATACTATTTCCTTTCCATACCAGCTTACAAATGTGCCAAGACTGTGTAAGTAGGGAGAGAGGGAGTTTCTCGGAGCAGCTGAGTGAACATTCAGGCTTGATTAGATTGCTCTACTCAAGCCCAACAATTCCAAAGTGTTCCAAAGTAGCCCAGACTAGCTCTCTTGTCACTCATGTAGCTGCACTTGCTGATTACACTACTCTGTTTGCCTTGGTAGATAGCACACGGTAGGGACTGGAAAAGGGAAGTGCAACCTTATTAGCTCTCCTGGACCTTTTAGCAACATTTGATACCATTGACCATGGTATCCTGTTGGAGAACCTGGTTAGGTTGTATATGGGTATGTATATATTACAGTTGTAGTTTTAGAACAAGTAGCCATATTAGTTTGTGCTAGCATATCAAGCAGAAACAAAAGAAAAAAAATTAAGATGACAAAAACATTGTGGCACCTTAAAGACTAACTGCTATATTTTAATGTGAGCTTTTGTGGACAAATGTACATCTTCAGACTTGTCTACACAAGTTCACATTAAAATACAGTGGGGTCTTGACTTGAGAACTTAATCCGTATTGGAAGGCGGTTCTCAAGTCAAAAAGGCTGTAAGTCAAGTCTCCATTGACCTACAGTGCATTGAAAACCGATTAATCCCGTAACAGGCCGTTTTTGTTCCATTTTTTTTTTCTGGTCTGTAAGTCAATTCTCAGGCTGCAAGTCAAACCTAAATTTTGCGGCCAGAGAAGTCTGTAACTCAAAAAGTCTGTAAGTCAAGCCGTCTGTAAGTCAAGGGTCCACTGTATAGCAGTTAGTCTTTAAGGTGACACAATGATTTTGTCTTCTTTATTTGTGTTTGCTTTTGCCTATTTATTACAGTAATTCTGATCCTTCCTGTCAGGATGCACATGAAATATGATGTTGGGGGAGAACTGCTCTACTCCATGACCTTTGACCTAGGGCTCCACCTTATCCCCTACATTATTTAACATCTATATGAACCCATCAGAGTGAAGCCAATGACACTTAGCTTTATTGCTCCTCAAACACTGATGAAGTGGCCAGAACTCTTGACTGCTGCCTAAGCTTGATAATGGAGTGGAAGAGGGTGAATAAGCTGAAACTAAATCCTGAAAAAATGGAGATGTGTCTGATCAGTAAAAAAAAATAAATAAATTCAGGAATCAGGATTCAACCTGTTCTAGAAATGGTTGCATTCCCACTGAGAGCTCAGGTTCATATCTTCTGAGCAAATTCTCTTTTTCTGGATTCCTATGAGGCAGCGATAGGAAGCAGTGCCTCTGAAACCACTTACTGAGACCACCGATGACCTTTCCTAAACTGGTCTGAAACTGTAAACTACCTTGATCTCTATCTCTTTCATTCAGATATTGGTGGACAGCAGGTCCTATCGGCCCTAGAAAGGCAGGGTATAAAAGAAAGGAATGAAAGAAAGAATCCTATATAATTTTAATGAATTTACACATGGTGGGAGTTGGAGAAAAAGGGCATTCCATAGCCATGTATGGCTAATCAATTTTTTCAACAGCATTATAAAGTTTGCAAGTATATTTATGCACCCTCCAGATATAAAGGCACTATTAAAAAGAAGCTCAGAAGGTCAACATGCAACTATGTTTCCATCCTTACATCTTCAGGTAACTGTGCTTCTTAGGGTGAGTATGTGAGAGAGTGAAGTTTCACATTATTAATATCTCTGGTTCTACTAAGACATAAAAGGCTTTAAACTGAGCAGATGCTTTTGCAAATAAAAAAGCAACATTCTGTCTACATGATAATAATTATAATGGAATACCTATAGGGTGTTATTATTCGGCTGCATAATACCTTCCCTCCCACTCTAGTCCTTTGCTTCTTGAAATGCTCAAGGATGACACGTACCTGTCTAAATATAATCTTGTAATATAAAACATTATATGCTTGAAATGGAGGGAATGTCTTTTTTCTTAATAATTTATCATAATGGCTCATTCAGATCAGAAATTTCATATATGCATTAACTCTTATGTTTGCATTGCCTCCAAGACATACTGTCAGGCAATATGGAATAGATTTTTTTTTCCATCTGTACATAATATTTTTAAAGTTTGGCTCTTTCCAAAATCTTTTTTTTGCTTCTCATTCAAAGAATTATAGGTTATTTTACAAAAAAGGCTGCCAACAACAGAAGGAAATCTTAAGAGGAATGTTATTCTGTGAATAGAATTTTGGATACCTTTAAGGTAACTTGAATTTTAAAAAGCAGATAGAGAAAAGAAATAATTTATTTGCAATTTATTATTACAATTATTGCTCTTATTAGTATTCAAAGGCCTTCACAATCTATTTGATGGACATTTAGCAGGACATAAAAATTAATGTAGTTATCCCAGGGGGATATTTTCTATACTGTACTACCCTTGGAAAATATTTCCCCAGGGTAACCACATTAATTAATTTCTGAAAACTATTAGCTATCAATAATCTATTGATCTATTTCTATTTCTGGGACAGGATTAGACATATAGATTGTTCTGTGAGTAAAAGGGTGATGATGTCATCAGCAGTGGCAAATTGCTGCTGATTAAATGCTTCATTTCAGGATTTCAGGGTCCATGTGCTTTTGTTGTGCTGTGTACAAATTGTGCAAAACCCAAAATTGACCTTAATGAATAGAGATTTCACTTTTATCAGCAGCTATTTGCTGATTGTGATGATGTCATCACTCATAAATATGCTTAGCTGTGCAACAAGATTTCAGCTTATGTATGTTGACTTGGAAAAAAAGTCCCACTATATTCAGTGGAATTTAATCTCTAGTAACGCTGTTGATAGATCAGGAAACAAATATAGTAGGACTCCTTTATCTGAAGGATCAGTATCTGCTGATTCATTTATTCATGGTCTCAAAATATTACAAATATTAAAAGAAAAATCCTAGAAATATATATTTCTAACAACAAAGTTACTCGTCCAGCTACTAGAGGAAGCCAGAGACCACACTAGTGTTCATTATTACAATAGATTTCGCTATAATCCACATTTTTAAGCAACTGTGGGGGTGAGGCTTGGAAGCCATCCCCCATGGATACGGGGGGCCCTATGGTACTCATAACCAGAAACCAGCAGGAATACAGTACCATGGCTGTTATATGTCCTTTCAAAATTGCTCCTACATATTGCTTGCAAAATAAAAACCTGCCTTTAGCCAGTCACTAGTATCTCCTCTAGCTTTGGATACTTAAGGAATTTGTCCTCTGTGAATTTAAGCACAAAATGATTCAAAGTTCACTCTTAAACTAATGCAAGGGTAAGTGAAGTGCATCCATTCAGATATTGGTGGATAGCAGCTCCTATCAACCCTAGACAGCATAGCCAAAGGGTAGGAACTCCAAGAGTTACAGTGTAACAAAATCAAGACCAATGCACTTTGCCTGTCTCTGGACTGATGTGCAGCCTGGGCCAGAGTTTTTCATCAACAATTCATCTTTCTCCAATTGTGTATTACAGATGGCAGTCTAAAAATACATATCAAAATGTACCGAACATTTTTTTAGGATAAAATATTTGTAGAAATGCTTACTTTGTCAGCAAACAAGCTGTGATCCTATACTCACTTACTTGCAAGCCAGCCCCACTGAAATCAATGGGAAATGCTCCTTGACACACAGGCATAGGTTTGCATTGTTAAAAAGGCATTCTTTGTATTCTAAATAGATTCAAAACGTATATCTCAATATGAATGTTTGTGGAGATATTTTCTAGACAAATCTGTAGAGGAATGCATAAATGAGATGGAATGGATGCGTGAAATCAACACATGCAAAACTGTCATGGACCAGAAGTAGACCAATGCGTCCATTACTTTGCTGTTCTAGCCAAAGTGCAAACAGAATTTTGAAAAGTTCTTCTTTCTTTTTTTTGAACTACAACTCTCAGAATGCTAAAAGCAGCAACAGGATGGGATATTCTGAGAATTGCTGTCCAAAAAGTAACTGTTCCAAGCTTTGGCTTAAAGGAAGAGCTTTTTACTCCCCAGGGGCCCAATTACAGAAACACCCACAGGAATTTCTGCAGTTCTTTTGCTGATTCCCTTCTGGTCTAAATGACAGACTGGGGAAATAAATGCTGGGATAGATCAATGCAATTGGCACGATCGAAAGCAGGGGTTTGCTGTCCAAAATCCCAGACAATTTTGCATTACTTTCAATGGGAATATCACCTCCCATACCTAAAGGTGCAGGAAGCTGCAGTCCAAACACATCCCGAAATAGTTTAGCAAGCACAGAACAGAACTTGTGTCTGCCACGTAGTCCTCAATCTTCTAAATATAGGGTCCTGTTAAAATATAGTTTTTTCCTGTGCTGCTATAAAGTGGGGAATTCCTCTTGAACCTACTCCAGCATATGCTAACAAGAATAGTTTTTTAACAGCATGAAAATGCTGGAGCTTTAGGCTGTTTTGCAGCAGCAATGTATATATATATATTTATATATGTGTAAATTTTCCAAATCACAATGTCAAAGTAGCAGCATTAGGATACTTCCACTTACTCTGCATACAAAGCCCATCTGTGCAGTTCTTGGACTGCAAGACAAGACCCTCACAGTCTTTGCCGCCATTCTTTGGTGCTGGTGCCGTGCATTCCCTCCTGCGCCAGTGGGTACACTCTGTTCCACATGTAGACCATTTACTCCATGCTGTCCACCTCCCATCCACTGTCATAAAATGTAAAGACAAAATGGTAAGGGGTGAGGGTGATGATGCAGGTAAAGATAAAAGGTGGGTATACTGCATGCACAATGAATTGCAAAACATGTGATAAATCAAATTCTCTGTTTATTCAAAAGATAGGTGAGAAAGATGCAAACCTCTTTATTTTAGCTAGAGGGGGAAAACGGCTTCTATCTAAATTGAAGAGTCATGCTGCAGCTTAAATCTATTTGTGGACCACTTGCGTGATTTGTTCGTAGTACAGCCTAGAGTGTTGGAGTGCAATGCAGGAAGGAAAAATTGTCAGGAGATTTGGATCTTGCTATCAGCCATCTGATAAGAATTAAATACACAGAGAGCTGTGAATCTATATACGGATGGAGACACTCCTTGCATCATGATCCACCTTGGAGTTAAAATTTTATACTGCTGCAATCACCAAGACTGGGGAGAAAATTGTCCTCCAAGTGTTTTTCTACTTCATTGCAAACTTGTAGCATGCAGAAGAAGTCACAGATCAAACTAGAGCAACATCTTCATTAAAACTTGTGCCACTAGTTTATATAGAACATCAGAAGCTATTGGACCAAAATTTATGTTTTGATGCAGTTCAGTTGATTGGTATATAGTTTATGTGCCACTAGTTTATATATACAGAATTCCAAAATTCTATGTACAGGGTCTAGAAAACTATGAATGTGCAGAGGTCAGCATCTCAGATACAAAGGGCTAAATCTACTGTTAATCCCAACTAGAGTAGACCCGTTGAATCAGTGGAACTCACATAAGTGTTGATTTACCACAGTCCTATTGATTCAGTGGGACTATTAATGTTTGGGACTAACGGGTCTCCTGCAATCCAGTATCGTCTTTCTTCTACTCCATTCATGGCTAAAAGAAACCACACTATATACCACAGCCAAAGTATTCTCTCTCCATAGTCTTCTGTATATTATGTCAATGTATCTTGTATCTTTGTTCTTCCTCGACTGCTCTCCCACAAGCCACTCTTGGCGGAATGATGTCACACCCAGTTCACTAGGTACTTCAGAATAAGTTACCGGATTTTAATGTTCTCACTGTGATGCAATATGGGCACCACAGATGTGCAATGAGGGGCCAGGAAAACACTATATTGGATTCCAGTGCAGTAACTTTGCTCCTTGCTCCTTACAGGTGAAATGGCCAATAGAAATTACATTGAAGTTTTGCCCAACTGCTCATAGACAACTCTGGCAGCCTGTAAAAGTTCTTTTCAAAGCAGGCGCGAATTTTGTAAGTCCTGCATTTTTCTCCAGCTTAGGCTGAAATCTGAATCAGAGAAATATTTTGAGTTCCCTATCCATCTGGCCTTACTGACCCAAAGTACCACTTTCAGAAGCCCCTTTCCTCCATCCCAAACTATTTCACTTTTCTGCATGTAATCAAGCAGTGCTGACAGATCCACAAGCAACAATGGCATAAGGTGATGGGTGAGGTGTCATGACTGGCACATTAACTGGCATGGGAAGATATATCAAAGGGGAGAGGGGGGGTTAACAGGCCAAGTCAGGAGTAAAAGGTATTAGATACCTTACTCTTCTTTTGGTTCCTCCCTTGACCCACAGTTCTTCTCTCTTATTCCTCTTTTCTTTTCTCATTCTTACAAGATGGTTCCTCACCAAGCTAAGAGTTTGCCCTCAGACCTGCTTGTGCTATTGTTAAACTGTGCCATCGGTCCAGAAAAAAATTAAATGTAATTGTGAATGACAGGGCTGACCAAATGAGTCAGGGCAGGTGGCTGCTAAGAATTAAGCCTTTTCTTCAGTGACAACCCAGTTTTGGAATGCCCTCCCCCCAACGACTCACCTGGAAGCTCTCCTGAGGTATACCCTGAAGTTCTTCTAACATTCTTTTTTTTTTTAAATCACACTTTTTAAAGTATTTACCTTTTTGCTTTTAAGGTTCTTCTTTTCCACTATCATTTCCTATTGGTAGCTTTATACTAATATTTTGATGCTATTTCTGTTGATTTATATTTATTGTATATTTTATTTGTATACTTCATCAAAATAAAAATAAATATAATAATCAAGTGCCATCAAGTCAATTATGACTTACGGTGACTCTTTTAATGGTTTTCCAGGTAGAGAATACTCAGAAGTGGATGACTAGCTCCTCCTTCTGGGAGCATCCTTAGACCATGCAGCTTGCCCAAGGCAACAGACTGGCTCTACTTGTAGGAGGCGCAGTGGAGAATCAAGCTTCCAGCCTCTGGCTCCATAGCCAGATACCTAAACCACTGAGCTATCCAGCCAACCTTGTATACTTCATAGTTCAGTTTTATTTGCGAACCACCAGAAAACACTGCTGTAACATGCATTATTGCAAAGCAAAGCAAAAGGAAAAGCAACCCACGCACCCCATAAGGGGAATCTTGGGATTTGTAATGGCAGAATTCCCAAAAACCAGCATGCTACAGAGATGGACAGAAAAGGGATGGATCTTTCTCTTCTCATTATCACCCAGCCAAGTAAGTGAAGCATTAGGGGAAGTATATTTTGTATGCTGGCAATCACATTATTTAGAGGATAAAAAAAGGTACACTCTTCTGACCCTTTGAATAAGCTCAGGAAATTCTGAAAGCTTTTTTTTAACAACTCAGACAATATCCAAATCAATTCGAAGTAAAGGAGAGATTATTTATTTCCAGTAAGCTCCATCCATGTATACTGAATGGAACTAAGCATCTTTCAACAAAATGCCCAAGATTATTTCTAAACATTAACTGTAATAAACATTACATTCATTAACTATAAGAAACTTTATACTATAGCAAGTATTACCGTATTTTTCGCACCATAAAACGCATTTTTCCCCACAGATTATATTTTCCTGTTTTCTTGTCCTAAAAAATTGGTGCATCTTATGGAAAGGTGCGTCTTATGGAGCGAAAAATACGGTATGTATAGTAAACCTTGCCTATTATTGTTCATGTTTCCTTGTAGGTGAGACAGAACAGTCATAATCCAAATGCTTCAAAAATGTTCTCAGCTTTACTGAACAAACAAGGTTTTTTGGTTTTTTGCTCATTAACTGAGCTTTCTTATACATGTTTGACCCTGAACCTTTTTATATACTTCTGTTTTGGGAATTATCAGAAATCTAAGACTTAAATCTCTTCAGATTTTGAGCTACATAAATTGCCACAATTACAAAGGATTGAGATGATAAGCAAGCTTTAAGCAATAATAGGAATTAATTTACCATGGTTTGCACACCATTATGTGTATTTATGTAACACAACAGGATATTTGCTCACAAAGAAAGCAAACAGCAAGGAAACAAATTACCTCTAAAAAGTTTGATAATCAAATAACAACAAGGCTACCAAATATATGTAAATAAATCACCATAATGACACAACATACCTGGGCACAAGGTGGTGCAAGTTATTTTCTGTAAACTCTGGCCTTCACAGAAGGCACCCCCATTGAGAGGGGCAGGGTTGGTACAGGTTCTTGTACGCTTCTGAGAACCTTTCCCGCAACGGCTGTTGCACACCGACCATTCAGTCCAGGTTGACCACCCTCCATTGACTGAGAAGTGAAAGAAATACAGATGATTGAGAGGCAGAGCAGCCGATCCACTGAGCACTGATGAGCACAATAATGCTTTTGCTATCTCATGATGTAAAATATTGCATTGGATAATCTGTCAAATTTTCCTACTGGCCTCTTTATTAAACCAAATCCACACATGTAAACATTTAAATCAATGAAAGGATTAATGCTGCCTCTCGTGTCTGGAGAGTTAAGCTTGAAATAATACTTATTTCAACACAGGGACGAGTACTGTACCTCACATTTCTCCCTACTGCATTCCATGCAATTTTCTTCTTTATTTATATATATTAAACCAATTTCCCTCTTGGTTTAATAAACACTGTCAAACCTCTTCATTTACATATACTGAAACTAGGGTGTCTATTCCATCTAATCTTAGAACTTCTCAGCAGGCTGTTTATGCATATCACCTCAGTTGATATATGCAACAAATCTGATTTTAGCATTTTTAATTTGATATCTGCTTCTTTTTAATATTGTAATAATTTACTGTTTTTAGTATTTAATATTCCTTGTTTTAATACTGTAGGCTTTGTTGGGTCCTCTTGAGGAGAAAGTCAGGGTTTGAGTATATTAAATAAATAATAAATTAATAAATGTACTATAAAATTATAAATAAATCAATAAAATATCAGTGATCCAAGTGAAGTATGCCGCTGGCAGACGGGCAGGAAATGTGAGCCCTCCAGATGTTTTGGATGCTAAATCCTCTCAATCCCATCCAGGATGGCAGATGGCAAGCGACTGTGGGTTGAGGACCATAGACATTAAAGGTTCCCTATCACTGCCCTAGTAAGATGTACTGAGCCTACTTACCCAGAATATTGTCTTTAACAACAACAACAACAACAACAACAACAACAACAACAACAACAACAACAACAACAACAACAACAACAACAACAGAGTGCCATCGAGTCAAATCTGACTTATGGCAACTCTTTCTAGGGTTTTCTATGCTGGGAATACACAGAAGTGGTTTAATGTTCTCTTCTTCTGGGGGCACCTTTCAACTGTGCAGTTTGCCCAAGACCACACCAGGCTGGCACTTCTCCCTGGAGGAACAGTGGAGAATAAAAATCTCAGCCTCTGGCTCCATAGCCAGATGCCTAAACTGCTGAACTGTCCAGCCTTCTTAGTTACCATTTATTCACAAATGTGATCCAGTATCATATTTCTCCACCACCTCCTCCTTAATACAGGGTTTACGACATGTCATTGCAAGGTTCTCTGATCTATACGGCTACAGAGTGACATCTGAGAGAAAAATGGATTTCCTGACTACATGGATGCAGATAATAGTTCCTAAGAGTAAGAGCATGCTGTACATGTGACAACAGACCTGAAAATACTACAAGTTCTCCTGTCTGGAGGTAAACAACAGCGGATGTGGGTGCAGTCACGGGAAAAAGGAGCCTCTGTCTTCTTTGCTTTATCAGGTCAGTATCTCACTATATCTCTTTCCTCTGTGCTTCATCTTCCAATCTGTTCCCAATCACTTAATGTCCCTTCACATTTTTCAACAGGGAACAATACACAAGTCCTCCTACATGGTGACAATACTGACTTATGCATCTTTAATTCCATGCAGACCCAAAATAATCAGGCTGCTTATTCCCAATTTCTATTCTTAGGTAAAGGTTCCCCTTGACATTTAGTCCAGTTGTGTCTGACTCTAAGGCGCGGTGCTCATCCCCGTTTCCAAGCCATGGAGCCAGCGTGTGTCCAAAGACAGTGGTCACGTGGCCAGCACGACTAGACATGGAACACCGTTACCTTCCCACTGAGGTGGTACGTATTTATCTACTTGCATTTTTTTTTACATGCTTTCGAATTGCTAGGTTGGCAGGAGCTGGGACAAGCGACGGGAGCTCACTCTGTAGTGTGGATTCGATCTTACGACTGCTGGTCTTCTGACCAGCAGAAGAGGCTTGCAACACAGAGGCTTCTGCGGTTTAACCCGCAGCACCACCACATCCCTTATTTCTATATTTAAGCTTTGGTAAATGCAATAAAATTAGAAAGCATGGGCAGGGACCTCATTACAAATGAACAATAAGAAAAATACTCAAAGTTTCATTAATGTATAACAATTCAACCCAGCATGTTTCCATTAAAAATAAAACCAAACAGCTATCTTCTCTTCATGTTCTGTTCCAAAGATCATTCATGTTTCAGACCAAGACTTTACTAATCAAAACACACTGGATTGAATGCAAGATAATTTTGGACACCTTAAAGCTTCACTCTTCTCTTTCCTGAATTATTACTTTTCTTCTTCTTTAGTTTCTGTAGGATTCTACAGACTACAGGCTGGACCAAATAACTCCCTTAAAAAAGAAATAATCACTGGCTATTTTTACCATAGTGGTACAAAAACATTTAAAAAGTGTCGTTACTGAGCTTGATCAAGTTTCCAATTCAGATTTCCCTTCTTTAGCACAGTTTTGGCAATAGGTGATAAATGTCCACCTACCTGGTTAACCTCTTTGCATTTAGAAAGGATAAATATATTGTGCATGTGGGCGCACCCGGCACTGAAGTTTGGTCCCATTCATGCATGCCTTATACTTTCCAACTACACTGAACAATGCTTGTCTGTTGTGCTTATATTGTATTGCAAAAACCTCTAATCATCTCTATTCAATCTGTTTCCTTTAGAAAGCAGAATTAAATGTTCTCATTGTGACTTCTTTGGGGCAAATGCTTGCAGTTAAGCAAAACTGCTGCTCTGGGTTTGAAGGTCTTCTAATCAAATTAATTGCAAATCGCAAATCACAAATCGCAAATGATGATGATGATGATAACAGCTCTCCTATCATTCCAGCCAGGTCCTCACATTACTTTTTTTAATTTATGAATCACAAAATGACAGATTATTTTTGCTATATGTGAACTCACCAGGGCTCTTTTTGCACAGAAGTATGGGTATTATGAATACTTGCTCAATTCAACTAAATAAGTTCTCTCAATGAGAAATTTTCAAGCTTTGGGAGTTTCCTCATCTCCTGTTAGAAGTGAGGTACGGGGTGCTGTTTCTCTCATTGGCATCTTTATGACCGGCACAAACTGTCTTTACACAAAACCAGCATTTTTTCACTTAGAGAAAAAACTCCACATGTTGCAAGCTCAAATCTGTGGCTGGTTATTTAAAAAGAAACATGCAAGAATCCCTCCCCAATGCCTCTAATTCTCTATAAGTCCAGGCAGCAAGGCTGTAGCCATTGTCATTTTACACCACTTGCACTGAAGTGTTATTTGCACAATTACATTTAATCTGCACCAAACATATTCTCCCCCTTGTTTTGTTGACAAATTATCTCTCTCTTTCATGGAGCAACAAGATTAAATTTTGGAATTCCTTAACTTTTCATACTGTTGAGATAATAATTATCTTGCATGCTTTCTAACACTGGGTGTCAATGGGAGGGAGGAGGACCTAAAAGGATTCTAAAAGGATTAAGGACCTAAAAGGATTCTCCTTTCTCACTAACCTATTGGTAATGTCCCCTCTTCCTGTTTTTTTGTTTTTTGCTCTCTCTCTCTCTCTCTCTCTCTCTAAGTCGATCATTAGACTTTCATGGTAAGTCTCCTCTTAGCATCACTTGTCATCTAAAATATGTGGTGCTGAAGTAGGGACTTTCATGGTAAAGGAAAATCCATATAATCCAAATTAATAGGCAGAAGAAACAGGCTAGGTCTTATCCCTTCCCCTCCCTTGTTCCAGATGTCCTGTTTTGAGAACTAAATCTAAAGAGGAGAACATTCTCTATTTGTAGAACAGCTCTGTGCAAGCAGGAACCTTGATTTTTCAGGGCTTCTGAACACATGGATGACCGCCACAGATAAAAGCAGCTTTCCTTTTCTCTTAACTTAACTCTCCACACAAGAGGTAGGATTAATTCCTTCATCAAATGCCTCAATGGGGCTTCTATGATGGATGTGTGCTTTTGCTAACAGCCACAGTTAAATGCATCTTCTTTTTGGGGACTAAGCCCAGGAAGAAATAGAAATCCAGTGGCACCACTCTATACCCTACATTTGATAGGTATTTCAGGCTGCAGTTCCAAGAAAATGAGGTAGAACCATCTCCCTTACCATATACGATAACAGCAGCAGTTGTGCTCTTCCTCTTTGCCACAATGTTTTTAGCAACACAAGTGTAATTGGCCGTATCAGAGAGACGTGCCTGCTTTATGATCAAGTTGTGGTCAATAGTGATGTAAAAATTCCGGTCTTCTACGGGATCTATCACCTCTTCGTTTTTCAGCCATTCAACCTGTTGAGATGGAAAGAAATAGTCAGCCACCCTCACAGAAACAGCAGAGGCATTTTCACATCAGCACTCTCAGGAAGACAACTGTGGGAATCCATCAAGGCCAAGACTTGTAGGGGCATGACTGAACCAGGAGCACCAACACTAGATGGCTACTCAATGTTTCTTCATCAGAATGAATTCATTTCGATCCTGCCCTCCTAATGTCTGTGAATAGGCAGAGAGCGGCTAATGATAAACAAAACAGAACAAAGGAAATTATTTTGGTGTAGGTGACTCTGATTCTTGTAACCAGAAGAGCTTCAGCAATCACTTATGGCCCCAGATGAGTCTAAACCTTACTTACATTATGCTTTAGTCTTTGAAGTTCACATTAATTAAATAAAGTACACTAGCCTTTCTCCCTCCATTGTCTCTTTAATCACAGAAATGCAGTTCACTGAAAAGGACCAGGCTCTTGTAGCCCGGTAGCCTCTGCATGGTAGCCAGAAGTCTGACTTGAGGGGGGATTTGGCTAATGTAGAAAGGCAAACTCGATAAAGAAGCTTCCCACTCTTTGGACAGTTGTGTTTTTCCAAAAGAGATGATGGAGGGGGTGGAGCTAGTACACTCCCCTCAATACATGTTGGATTCACATACAATAAGATGACTTCATGCAATCTATGTGTATCTTAAATGCCTGATCACCAGGCATGGCTTGATACATCTGTATTAAACATTATGGCATCCATCCGTCTTCCATACCATTTTTCTTGTCATTGTCTCTCCTCTTCAAATTGCTTTTCTTTTCCTGTACCCTTTGGATTTTCAGCTCTCTCATTTAAATACAAGTCACAATTCAGGCCCTTTTCCTTTTTCTCTTGCCAAAATATGTGCTCTTACATAACCCTCATACACATTATCCCATCTCTTATTATAACTAAGCCAGAATAAGTGTAACTGATATAATCACTTTGCAAAATGATGTCTCAATTTCCCTTCCTATTTCTGTTAATTTCCTATGTCTATTTTATATTATAACTTCCTTGGACTACAATCTGTTATACCTATTCTTTGTGAAGCACCATGTTAGTATACTTATATAAAGAATAAAAATAAAGAAAAATAAATGATATGGGAACCTGTGTGGTGTAATGGATAAAATGACAGACTAGGATTCCAAAGACTTGGGTTCAAAACTCCACTCAGTCATGGAAACATACTAAGGTGTGGTACTGGTAAAGCCATCCCTTAAACATCTCACAACTGAAGAAAATACTATTTCCCAACATGTATTTTTGCAAACAAATATTTGTCCTATTCAGCTGTAGCTTCACAAAACATTCAGAAATAAATATTTTTGTGTACATGACTAAGAAAATCTATGTGTCAAGCAGCCCTAAAATATATGTAGATTAGTGTAACTCATGTGTATTCCCTACACACACATTTACAGAGAGTTTATAGTTCTCTATTTTATAAAATTATTTATTTTAAAAACAGATTACAGAAAAACAGAAGGAAACAGTTAAGGGCCTAACTATGTGCTCTTTAGCTATACACTATTCCATTCATTTCTACTTTTAAAAAGCACCCCATTCTTCCAGAGCTGCCTGAAGTAAGCTAGTTTAACGTAACTTGGCTGAACATTCAGTGGCTTATTTGCTTTTGGATCAAGCATGCTTTAGAGGCCTAAGATGAATCAAAGCCATGCCTTCATGTCACACTGGACTGCTTGAATTTGTATGCCTAGCACTTTCATCATGTGAGGAAAAAACAAAATATTTCCTGCCCCAAGCCAAACCAGTGGAATAGAGAGTTCTCACTATTAAGAAGGGTCTAGTTCATTCTGACAAACATGCCCCTTGATTCTAAACCATTAGAACGTCTGTCAGCCAACAAAGTTTGTTCTATCTTATTTCAGTCACACAGACGTGACTATGCTGTGTCATTCAACCAGGCAATTGGGCCTCTCCATTTTTCCTACCATAAAACTTGCTTCAGGTCTTCATGGAATCAGTCAGTCCACACAAGAGCAGAGATTTCTCCATGACCTGAGTGAGCAGCACATTCTTTTCCATATGAAATGTTATTTCAACAGAAACATGCAAATATTTCTCTGCTTGGTTAAGCCTACTGCCAATATTCAGACATATCACCTGCTATCTCATTACTCACAATCCTGTCATTTGATAACTTTCAGGTGAATGTGACATGTGTCTCTAGTGGAAGCTATGCTGCCTTAAATGCTGTGAAGTTATAATAAAAGCTTTGTCTCTGATGGCCTTTTCATAGATGAATCACTGAGGAATGAATATGCATGTCTGAATCAGCTCTTGGGATTCTTTAATTTCCAGGTTAGCTGTGAATGTCAAAAGGTCACACATAGAGCTCACTTTTTAAAAAAGGCTTCAGTAAAGCTATGTAGTATATGTGTGGTTCAAACTCTGCGACACACAAACCTAGCACAAATCTTCTGACTTTTAGTATCTTGCAAAGTGACTTTACATTGGAAGGTACGATAAAATTCATTTGCAAGGCTGACTGCTGAAGTCAGGATTGTCAATTTCGAACAATCTGTTACAGTATCTGTATCATCTGATTTGAGGTTCAGGAATCTCCTGGCAATGCACATCCCATCATTTCCCTATTCCTGGGATTGACAGCAATGCAAAGTAACACCGTTTGAAAACTTGAAACAGGCAAAGAAAGGTATTTCAATGGTTCCCAACCTTGGGTCCCCAGATGTTCTTGGACTAAAACTCCCAGAAGCCTTCACTACTAGCTGTTCTGGCCAGGATTTTGGGGAGTTGTAGTCCAAGAACATCTGAGGACACAAGGCTGGGAAACACTGTTAGACAATTGTTCCTTGTCAATAGTTCTTCTACTCCATACACTTATCCCTCCTAATCATTCTCGAAGGCAAAGAAAACCAATATCCATATTAAGGGTACTGTCCTTTATACAAACCAACTGACACAAAAATGTGTACAATTTGTCACAGATTTCAGATCTCTCCATTGGTGAATTGTAGGCTTTTTAAAGAAATGTAAGATGGGGAGGCAGAAACCAGCCTTTTGTTTATGTACAAATTTGGGGGTGAGATTTGGGCAGTGTCCCCTTCACCTTAATGAAACTGACTTCTATATCATATAAATCTCTTTGATCCTTAATTGTAGAACAGAGTTGGTATTTGGCTTGCTTCACAAAGACAAGGACTTCAAAACATTTTGCATGCTTCAGTGGTTTCAGAAACAGCACCAATAAAACCAAGATGCTTTCCAAAGTGAACTATGTTTCTCTACAGAGGATCAGCATTAACACTAAATGCAGGGAAGCAGATTCTGAAATATTAAGTCTAACTGAAATCCAGCATGATGTTTATTAATTCAGACAATATATTAGAAGCAGATTGCCATTAAAGATTTAGTCAAGAATTCTTATGCCCAGAATAGAGAACAAGTTTAAAATAAGTACAACTTGATGTAACTGGAGAAACAAATAGCCTTGTGTAGCAGACCACTCTAACGTCACTGCCAAATTCAGGCCTCTCAGAGTGCCCAACACTCCTCTTCACACTGCTGCCACCAAATATAATTACTGCTTAAGGAGGACAAAGGTTTCTTTTAAAAACAAAACTGGTTTATTGGTTCACAAAATAAAATAAGTAAATCACAGGAAGATAATCACGATGTAAATCACTCTTTCTTATTTAATCAAACAGACTTTCCCTCACTGATTACTTTGGCTCATAGGCCTTCAAACAAGCTCTCTCTTGTTCCTTATCTAGTCCTAATCTGTTCCTTATATCTTCACACACCCTTATATAAATCAGCTCCTCCCCCTTCAGCACCACCCTCCGTCCCCTCATTGGCTGATGATCTACTACCCAGCTGTGACGGACAGGTGAGGTCAGGGCTGCCTGTTACGTCACGATGTAAATAACTCTTTCTTTTTAAATCAAACACAGACTTTCCCTCACTGATTACTTTGGCTCATAGGCCTTCAAACAAGCTCTCTCTTGTTCCTTATCTAGTCCTAATCTGTTCCTTATATCTTCACACACCCTTATATAAATCAGCTCCTCCCCCTTCAGCACCACCCTCCGTCCCCTCATTGGCTGATGATCTACTACCCAGCTGTGACGGACAGGTGAGGTCAGGGCTGCCTGTTACACCTTGTCTCAAAAACTACAGTGGTGCCTCACTTAACAATGTTAATTGGTTCCAAAAAAATGCTGCTAAGCGATTTCGTCACTAAGCGAAACACAGTTTCCCATTGAAATGCATTGAAAACCGGATAATCCGTTCCAATAGGAACGAATTGCCGTCCTTAAGCGAAAATTGCCATAGGAAACATCGCTAAGCGAAACGCAGTTCCCCAATTTAAATGCATTGAAACCTATTCAATGCATCTCAATGGGGGAAAAATACAACAACAAATTAAAAAAGAGTCAGAACAAAGTCAAATTTGGTTAACAACTGGTTTATTAAGTGCACTTTATGATTTCAAACATTTTAAACAGTAAACTTTAACATTATAAATAACAGAAAAACATTTAAAAAACAGCAAACATGAGGCTGTTTAAACCATCATTAAGCGAAACAGGGGACCCAAAATGTAATCGCTATGCGAAGCATGGTCCCAACCATCGCTAAGCGAAAATCGCCCATAGGGACCATAGTTAAACAAAGCATAAAAACGTTCCAAAAAAGTCGTCTCTAAGTGATTTTGTCGTTAAACGAAGCAATCGCTAAGCGAGGCACCACTGTATGTGAATATCTTACCAAAGAGGTAAAATGAAAAAACAGAATATTGCAAGTTATAGAAGTAAAGATCATATGCACAGAAAATTAAGGGGCAAGTGACTTTAAGGAAAAGCCATGAAAAACAAAAACCAAAAATAAAATAAAACAAAATCCCTAAACAACCAATAAATAAAAACCAGAAACACTATCATTATATTCTGAGACACAGAGGAAGACAAATAGGACTGCCTCAAGACAGGGCAGCAGCGAAAGTCT